TTGCTGTCCTCTGGCTGCTGGGCCCCCCTGTGCCCACAGGCTTCACTCTGAGGCTCTGCCCTCATTTGAGCAGTGGTGGAGGCAGTGGTGCAGGTGGTGACTTGAGGCAGCTTAGCCAGGAGAGCTGCCCACATCTGAAACGGAAATGTATGGAGATTTTGAGCGATCAGGAGATGGATTTAAAATGACAAGGAAGTTACCCCTGTCCCTGCATGCCCTCCCCACACTATTTCTAAAAAGAAACAGGAGCAAAGCAGGAAGGTACTTTAGCCTGAAAAGATTTCAACTACAACATTAAAAGCTTCATTTATTTGTTTTAAATTGAGCTAGGCACTTAAAAACTTCAGGTTTGCCTATATTTACACCCTAGCAAAAGCCTTCTCAGAGTTGGACTACAGGTGGCAAAGCAGGAAAGTCAAGAAACTCAAATAAAAGTGTAAACTCTCACATAAATTAAAGCATGTTAAATCCCATGGGGAGGCCCTTACTCAGGTGCAAATTTGCCTCAGTTGCTGTGCAGTAATCCCTTTGCACACCAAGCTTCACAGACCCTGCAGTGCTCACTCCAGTGCCCGTGGGTCACTGTCCCAGAATGTAAGGAACCAGAGAATCATAGGACTATTCAGATTAGAAAAGACCCTTGGGATCACCAAGTCCAACCATCATCCCTACTCTACAAAATTCTCCCCATTGCCTCCACTGTGGTGCTCCACCACAGTGAAATGCCAGTCAGAGAGAAGCCAGGTCACTGGTTAATAATGCTGCAGCGTTCTGACCTTAGGAGCGCATTTTAACAGTATTTATATATTACCTTTTACCTACCCATTGCCCTGCTAAAAAAAAGACTCAACACATCACTTTCAGTAACTCTGGAGAAAAATGGATATTTCAAGTTTGGCTGCCCCCAAACTCCAAAGTACTGGCAAAGAGGGCTAGAAGTCGGGCTTCATTTGGTTGTATTCAAAGTCCAGGTGTTTACCTTATACATTGTTAATCTGGAAAAATAATGAATTTTTATGCAGTGAAAAGTCCTTCTAGCAATGGGAAAGACTTTCTCCCATGTCTTTCTATCATATCAGCCGTGTCTGGGTTAAAGACTGAGCCCACTGCCTATGACGATGCTCCATGAGGAGTTAGAAAGCCAGGTTACTCAGAAACACACAAAACAAACCAGAAGATCTCCAGTGACCAAGCCCAGAGCAACATAGATAATGATTCCCATATGGGTGAAGCGATTCTCTGAAAAGAGATGCAAGAAGCCATCCATGCAACATGTAATAAGCTTTTCTTCCACCTTCTTCTGCAAGTTTTTTTGCAAAAGACTGAACAATCTCACTGAGTATTCACAGTATCCCTGGCCACTGAAAGAGTAGGGTCATTTTTTGAGATGTTTTGTATTGCTACAGGATTTCTCCCAAATGCACCTTCTGTAGTAAGGCATAAAGCTTTTTCTTGGTGCAGCTATTATTCTTCTGAGCACCACAGCCACATCCTCTCCTGTGGGCAGGGGAAGCTCTCATGCCAGCACTCAGCCTGTGCCCAGGAGGGTGGCAGCAGCAGCAGCTGTGCTGGGTGTCGGGCACATGAGAGCCAGAGCAGAAAAAAGGCAGTGTTAAGACAATACTCCATTCTTATGCAGTCAAAGAAGTGGTTCTCATTTATATTAGTGGTGAATTCTGCCAATTTCTTGCCCAAAAGCTTGAAACTAACTCTGTTGGCACTAGTTCTTCAGTAGTTACTGTGATCAAAATAGGCATCTTGGAGCTCACTGGGCTTTGCAATCTGCACTGACTGGCACCAGTGCCCCCCTCTTTCCCACTTAATAAGGTTTACATACAGAGCTTGTGTATTCTTTACATAAAATGTAATGTGGCCAATGAATCTGAAGTGACACAGAGAAAGTCTGTGGCGAAAATATACTGCAGCGATGAAACCCAGCCATGTTCACCCTGGTTTTAGTATTTCCATGTGCTTCAGAAGCACCTTACGCCGAATTTCAGAACTTACAGCTTTACTCTGGAGTATTTAAAACACCCTAGTGAGCTTTTTCATCTTTGTGGAGTTAAGAGTAGAACCTCCAGCATGAAAAAAGAAAGCTACTAACCCCAGCTACAACTTGCAAAGGTAATCCTGTAAACATACAACTACATGTTGGCTGTAAATGCTGGCAGGGAGAACTTTGAAACAGCTCTGAGTTGAAGAGTTGATCTTCTTCAGTCTCTCCAGCCTCCAGGATTCCCAGACTATGGAATCCGATAAAAAAATTAGGATGCCATGAAGAGGAGCATTTTTGCTCAAGTTTGCCATTTGCTGCTGACAACAGCTCAACATTTTGGTCTCCCTGACTCATTTCCCAGCTCAGGATCTGTCAGCAGTGGCCCTTCTCAGCTTTCCCTGTAAGGCAGCCAGCTCAGGATCTGTCAGCAGTGGCCCTTCTTCTCAGCTTTCCCTGTAAGGCAACCTTACAAAAGTGCAGCCCCAGCTCCATGCGCTGCTCATTCTGGACAGGCAGCTTAAATCAGACAGCTGGAGGAGCCCCTATTGCAAGCAGGGAAGTAGTGAAGGTGGGAGGCAGGAGCCAGCACAGCTGAGCTGGGCTGCCTGGCATCTGCCATGGGAAAGGAGAGCTGCACTGCTGGGTGGATGTGCCAGCCCAACAGCCCCCTTGGCCAAGAAACATGCCCCAGCCAAACCACTTCCAGAGCAGAGGCTGGGGCAGCAGAGCCACACTGCACCACCAGTGTCAAGAAAGAAAAAAAAAAAAGATTCTTCAGAATAATCAGTCAGAAACATCCATTGACAACATTTATCATCACACCTGTTATTCTTTGAGCCATATTGCATGCTTGGACAGAGGTGAGTTGGGCAGGACTAAAAGCATAATAATGTAATGAGCCCAATACTTATGTTTTAGTGCCATATGTTCCAGCTCAGTGGCTGTTGAGTCAAGGGTACCTGCAGTGCTCCTCCTCCTTTGCAGAAGGCAAGGTGTCTGGCATCAGGATGGACCAGCAGAGGCACATCACTGAGGACCAGGTTGTCCACCTAAACCCATACACAGAGCCTCTAGTATGGTGGCATCATGCTTCTGGGAGTGGACATAGAAGAGCTGAGTGTCCATTCCCTCCTGAGCATCCTCTCCCCATGATGACAGACAACAGTTAACTCTCTGAAAGGAGGGATGAGCGTGGAGACACACTGCTGTCCTGCCAGCAGCCCAACATGGAAACTGCCACAAAGCAGCAACAGACAGGACTGATGCTCTACAAAGCTCTCCCTGATACTCTGGAGCCTCTCCTGAAAGGAGCTTTTGGATGAATGGGGATAAATCCCTCCCACTAAGAAGCTGAAAAGCAGGTTAAAAGAATTTCCTTAGGGGGCTGGCCCTGTGCAGATAGCCTCTGGGAGCATCTATGGGATAACAGGCATCCCAGCTCCAGGAGAAAAAACATCCAGTCTTAGGAGTAGAACTTCTCACTCCGCCCCCCACCTTGTTTTGTTTGTTTTTTGTTTGTTTGTTTGTTTTTGTTTTGTTTGTTTTTGTTTTGTTCTTTTCTGTAAGGGGGAACCTCAAAACCTGCATTTTCTTTTTACCAAATGTAATAAATTATTTCTCAAGGCAGGTCTGGTCCAGTATTCTGAGCCCTTACTGAAGAAAAAAAATGAAACAAACCCCATTTTCAGCATTGGCAGCAACTGTCTCTCTGGGCTCTTGGTGGCACAAGGGAAGGATTTGGTTGACGAGACAAGATGGCACAGACTGCTTCACTACCTAGCTAAGCACCCCAGTGACCTCATCCCAGCTAGGGATGCCTTCCCTGCAGTGCCAGCTTTTCTCCCCAGAGATGAAACTTTATCAACAGTGGTCTTGCAGAGCAGCATGACACAACTGGCTGAAGTTGTTAAACAAATCTGTCTTGCACTTCTGAGCAGCAAACACACTTGGGAAACACTAAAAGCAGTAACAGATCTACAACTGTTTTCTTTTTTAGGTGTTGGTATGAATGTTTTTTTTTTTGTTTGTATGTTTTTTTTAATTAGAAGTAATCATGTTTTCCTTAGATCCAGTGTTAACAAAATGACCACTGAGTGGCACAGCATCAGGCTGAAGTAGATTTGCTAGTGATAAAAATACCTATTTTCAATAGTACCATATTATCTAATTTGAGAAATTACAAAATTATACTGGGAAAATATTGAAGTATTTTTCTCTTAAATAGTAATCCTAGACTGAGGGAATGTGCAAGTTCTGGGATTCCCTATAATGACAATAAATGTTGAGGTATAATTAGTAATACTTTTGAAAGCCAACAATTGTTTTTTTGAAAGAAAGGTACATTTTAGTTCCAAACTGGAACACAAATTACTGTATTTTTCTTACAATAGTGCTGAACTTTTATTTGAGGTTCTCTGTTTCTGAAAGCAGACATGATGGATTGAAATAAAAGATAATTTATTGCAATGCTTACTTTCAAGTGCAGAGAGAAGCAGTGTAATTGTAATTTACAGTAGCTGTCAAGGAAAATCTATCACAGATGACATTAAAATGACTTATTTTGCCTGAGCTACTTATTGTTTAAATGTGCATAATGTGATAGAAACAGATTTTTAAAAAAATCTGCTTTATATTGTTCTAAATTAATATCAAAACATATACTTATGAGTTAAACATTTTAAACCATTTATTAATACTTTCATCACTACTATTTTTTTCCTAGCAGTTGGAAATTAATTTAACAATATAATATTTATGTTTTTTAGCTCTCTATATTAATCCTACTTCTGTGTCCCTAAACTTACTGTCTAAAAAGTAGATTTCAAATTAGATTTGTTTCTTTCTGAGGGAGAAGTGTCAGAAATTGTAGAAGGAAATGGAACATAGTGCCCAATTCTGTTTTGACTGCAGCTGACCAACAGTTTTGCCACCCCTTTCAAGAACAGGTTAGCAAATATTCAAATTTTTTTAAGCAAAGTACTCACAAATCCATGCAATCTTTTATTTGCAACTTATAGCTGATGGGAGAAGGAACTACCATCCATTAAATACTGTGTCAACTATCAAGCTTCCATAGCAAAGACCATGTTAGAATACTGAATGCAAACTTACCTCTGTGATATAATTATTCCCAAACCTCTTGTAGAAATATTCTGATTATTTGTGCCTAAGATACATTCTGCATATCACTTGAGCACCTTTATAGAAACACTGATGAAAGAAACACACTTCCATTCTGATGGGCCTAAGTGTTTTCAGCTTGTAGGTGCATGTTCTCAGGTATTTGTATCTAACTCTTTAGAAATGCAAGGTTTTGATGGATGGATGGGGATGGATATGTCTGTCTGCATGCAAATGTCAAACGATGAACAACCAGAATCACAGAGCTTCACCAAACCAAGGAAATTTTTCAGCAGAGGCAGCATTACAAGTAGTTCTAAACAAATCAGCACATTTAAATTGTCAACACGATGAAATCTTGAGAAATAAAGTTAATGACCTGATTTTTCACTATTTTATATGTAGTTTTGAACAGCCACTAGCTTTGATTAATATGCTGTTCAAAGGGGGCACTGACTATATATTTACACTTTGCAAGTAAACTGACCTCCGTATCAACGCAGCAAAAATCCAATGTCACATTCAAACCTATTATTTTTCTTCTTCTTTTTTCTTTTATTATTATTATTTTTTTATACAGCTAGAATTAATGTAGTGAATCTGTAATGAAATGCATTATCCTGCATGGAGATTTATCAGATTTTCCAATTGAATGCCATGCTTTGCTAGCACTAGCTGGAGTTCACCTGCATGTTGGTGTGGCGTGTGGCTCTTTTTTGTAAAGAGTTAAGTTGAACACAGAAAGAGGGAACAAAGGTCAGCACCCAGCCGCCACTTGAATGTGAGATTTTTCTTTTTATTCCCCTTGATGTATACTAGGCTCTGTGTTATTAGTCTTAATGATGGAAAATTGTAGTGTTGATACAAATCTTTTTTTCAAAGTAGTAGGCGGGAGCTCCATTTGTTAGTAAGTTTTTTTGTGACTAAAAGCCACGGACAGTACATTTATGTAGCAGTAAAAGGCCTAGATGCTCTTTCCATAGCAGAGCTAATTATTCCTACTGTGACCTTACTGATCTACCCTGTTCCTAGTACATCTCATCTGCACGCCTGTTCCTCTGTGTAGATGGTGTCAGAGAATATGAAAAACCCTATAATGAAACCATTTTCATGATGGAGAAAGGCTACTGGAGTTGCACTTGCTACAAAGAGGCTCAATTATATGAGTAATTGTGATAATTTTCTACATTCATAGCCTTCAATGGGGAAAAAAGAATGAGAGCCACAAAGGAAAATTACTTTAACAAGAAAGTACAGAGAGTAAAAATGGAAGAAGAGACAAAAAAGGGGAAAAAATAACCAGAAAAAAAGTTTAAAAAATAGATCTGGAGGGAGGAATAGCAAGACAGGGAGAACAACAGAAATGCTCAAAAAGCCTATGTGCAGCTGTGTTGCACAATTAAATTGAATTTTTTTTTCTGCAGTTGATGAATGTGACTACCGCAAATGTGCCTCTGTAGTTAGCTATCATTTGTTGTTCCGTGACAGGAAAAGGATAATTACCTCTCAGAGAGAATCAAAGGCTGACATGCCCTTTAGACACAGCCATGAATGCAGAGCTCGATAGAATGCTTGAATAAGAATCCAGTGTTCTGTGCCCCCTTCTACTCAAGAATAAATTTTGTTAAAATGCAAGAGCACCACCAGTAAATTTGTTGAACCCTAGGTGTTCAAAAATATGAGGTGCATCTATCGACTCATCCCATTTGCAAAAATAAAACTACATTTTGAATTCACTTCTATTATATTCATGGACAGTAAGATAGTGAGATATGCATTAAATTTCTTTTCCCAGTAGGGGTCTGATTCAACATTTCCTATGAAAGAACAGAAAGACACTATCTTTTTTCTCCGGGCTAGTTAGCCTATAATTTAAAACTGTCAAAAACACAATTTTATACAAAGTCTTCAATAAAAGCTTCTCAGATATAACCCAAAGAGGCTTTACTAAAGTTTGATTCAGACTCTGTTACAATATTTTTAAAGCTCTAAATACATCTAACTGATATTTTGCCGTTCGCTTTTTTCCTTAAAGTATTTGAAGATTTACAAAGAAAAAAAAGCAGCATCCTTTCAAGGTGACTAAGCCTTGCAGCTTTTAAGTAATCAGAATGTATTCACTAGTATGTTGGGACCATTAATAGTCCAGAGAAGTATTGCTTAATGAAATGGATATATGTCTAGGTTTTCTTTTTTTGGCAAACATTTAAAAATAATCCATAGGTACCTTTGAAAAACTGCCTGCAAAAAAGAAGTCATGACTGCATTTATGTGAAGGCTAGAAGAGATGCAAAATAGGGAAAAATTTCTGGATGTGAGATCTTTTTTTTCCTGTGACGTTAGCATGCACTGCTCTTTGTAAGATCAGAAGCTCTCCAGTCAAATAATTTTGTACATTTAAGCAGAAGCTTATTTATGTTGACTAATACCTTTGTAACATTCGTTATTGCTGTATAAAGAAAACAATGTTTTCTAACCTTCTTACATTGTTAGACAGATGTGGTATAGTTCCACACACAAATAAAAAAAAAACCAAAACCCCACAGCAAATTACATGTTAATTTAAATCTACCTTAGGAATATCTTTGACTCCTTCTGCAGTTATCTTTGCTAACCCTAGTGTAATTCACTTAAAAAAAACATAATAAATCTTTTACCCAAGGAAAAACATTATAGCTTGGCAGTTCACATACTGATATCAGACTGAAATGATGGTTTTGAATCATAAAACATGTCATCAGCTTTATACCAAACCACCAATAACCTTTGTCCCACTTGCCAGCCCTCCCTTTACTTGTCAATGTAAGGCTTACCTGATTGTGTTTCCAATTACAGAGAAGGGAGCCCCTGGTCTGCAAGCTGCAATTGCTTCATCTCTACATTTCCTGGCAACCTCCACTAACTTTTGACCAGACTTATCCACATTGCCCACCAAAAAGGTTTCAGAAGTGTCACCATGGTAGCCATTGTAATACGCCTAAACATATGCAGAAACGTAAAGAGATTTTATTGTTTTACATCCAGAAAGAGATTGCCTCCTCAATTAAACCTGTTCTTTCCAGGAATGAGTTATGTATTGCAACAGACAGACCACAGGTAAGCTGCACTTGCAAGAATGAGACTGGAAAACCAAAACATTGCAGAAAGAGAGAGAAAAAAAGAAGGAAAACTGGGAGCTGCCGGGTGCCCACCTGCCCCAAAAAAAAAAAAAGCATGAAAGAATGCCAGGTGTGCAAGGATTCTCAATTAAAAATTCAAAAGCAAAAGTTGTGCCTCTCTGCCCAGCAGTGCCCCAGATGATGACACTGCTCAGCCATAGGGTAGCATGCGAGAAGATGGGCTGGGGCCATGCATGGGCTGAAGGGGGCCCTGGGAGCTGCCGGGTGCCCACCTGCCCCCCCGGGGGCCAGGGACCTGCTGGCACCCCATGGGGACTGGGTGTTAATCCCTGGTGCTGACTGTGGGAGCTGGAAGACCCATCAGCACCTGGCAGGGAGACGCGTGCCCCTGCAGCCAGCACCCCTCAGCGGGTGAGAGGGGTACCCCACTGCCAACACCCAGAGGGAGCCCCATGGACAGCATGGAACAAATCCACCGCCCCAGCTGCATGTTTTCTTTAATCTAATTTTTAAACTGCAACGTGGCATTAGCATTGGGTTTTATTTCTGATTTCCAGAGATTAATTTTAAAAGAGAATAAACATACTGTTCTGGCACCACGAAGTTTCGTGTGCTGAAAACATGGCACCCTGTTGAATTAATTACATACTATGGTGTTTTGTTTGGTGGTTGTTTTTTTTTTTTTTTACATGCCATAGGTTTTAAACCTCCGTTCACCAGAAATTCTCTGCCAGGTACAGGAAAGTCTGACTCATTAAAATGCGGTTTGCAGCTCTGTAGAATGGCAGGCAGGCACATGATTGTGAGACAAAGCCAAATTTCCCTACAGAAAGACAAATTACAATGGTGCACAGTTTTGATCTTCTAAAATGTTTTCACCCCCAACAGTGAGCAACCATCCTTCTAGGACTCATAACTCACCAAGCTCAAAGCACTGAACTTTTGCCACCGGCCAGCTATTTCTGAAAGACAGACTCACATTCTTTTTGGTTGATTCCAAATGAAAAAATAGCCAAATCAACCTGGCTACAGACAGTTTATCCCAAGGCCAGGTTTGTGTTTGGGCTGAGATGTGAAGAAAACACAGGCAGTTATGAGTGAGGGACATTTTAAAGAAAGGTGAATGCCAGCAAGGGTCCAACCATGCTGCCACCACTATGGTGAAAAGCTACTGCAATCCCCTGCAATCTACACCTTCCTCTGCCAGTTCAGACTGTCACTGGATTTTATTATTATTTTTTTAATATTAATTTGATGCCCATTGGACAGGTTTTAATCTAGCTAGCTCATATTTAAACTGAACTACTTAATTTTTAGCTCTAGCAAGTACAACACACAAACCCCCAGCATTAAACATCATAATCCTGGAAAAGCAAATACCGATTTAAAACACAGGCAAGCTTAAAAAAATGTAATATTTTCTGCAGCCCATCAACTGCAATTACCTATTTTTGACATTGATAAGCTACAACCACGGCAATTATAACACACTAATTCCTTAAAAGTCAATGAAAGAACCAAGCTATAAGAAATGTTAACCTGGTAATGGTGGCCTGAAAACTGCCCTATGCTGAGGATTCAGTGATGAGTAATGCTTTTGTTTCCACACGAAAAAACATTTTAAAAACTGCATGATTCAAGCCAATAAAATATGTGTTTAATCTATGAAATTCTACCATCTTAATTGTGCAAAAATGGATTTTTTCTTCAAATAATGTGTACATAGTGTGAAATGTTTACACCAGAATATTATTTAATAATTTTCTAGAACCCATAAACAACTATAAACAATTTGTTGCAAAATATTTACTTTGATTTTTATTCTGTCCACCTGTAAAACATCTCGATTTTGCTCATTGAAGATAAGATAAAATAAAATATAATTAACAATGCTGCAAAATAGTATTTTTTCCTCAGATATTTTGGAACTGAGTTATTATCAAACACAGCACAGTTCAGTTTTAAATGCTAAAAAATCTTTATAAAGATAATCAGCAATTGCCATCCTTGCAGGAATCTTCATATTCACATAAACATCAAGATTTATTTAATTTTATGAGGGTAAACAGAAAACAAATTAAACTATATCTTCAAAAAGACCCCTATAATTTGGTCTGACATTATTTGTAAAGCAGAGTGGACAAAATGTAAAAATGTTCAGTTTAAATATAAATTATATGTGATATGAGCCTACACTTTTTTTTTTAATTAAAGAGTCATTATTATCCCAAAAGATTAAAAAAAAATCAAATAAAAATTACAAAGAAGCCAGATGTTAAATCCTTTGCTGTTGCAAACAGATTTAACCTAATAAAATGAGCAAAGCTACATCAGTTCACACAAGTAAAAATTTAGGCCAAAAATATACTTTAAAAATGATAAATTACACTGTGTAAACCAAATACTCAGAATTCTACAACTGTTAAGTATGGAGATGGCATGAATTCAGTAAGACTGAAAAAAAAACCCAGTTCTGGATCACATGTAAGTATACCATGGGAAAAAGGTCACTGACCCTAATTTTAGTAGAAAAAACATTTTAGGAAGCTTGAATCTCATGCTCAGACGTAGGTCTGCTAGAGATTCCTTCCCTTCAGTCGGTATGAAATTTGGGCCCATGGAAAATAATCTCAAGTTACAGAGAGTTTCTTTAATGATTAAAAAAGCTTATTTTTATGAGATGTTACTCCCTTGTATGTGATATGTTATTGCAAAATAATAGTTGGATTCAAAAGACATCTGTGCTCATATTAGAAATAAACTGCACTTTGGGAAAATAAAAACAAGCACAGTAAAAAGAAAAAAAAGCTTCTGCACGAGACTATTTTTTCCCCCTAAATGAAATGAGAATTAGGTTTCCAGTTTCTGTACTTGCTCCTAAGAAAATCCAGGCAGTGTTTATTTAAATAGCTATAATTGACCATTCTCTGGAAATATTAAGTCATAGTTATATCACACTATTTCTGTTTATGTGCAAAACGTTCAGGGCTTTTATACCAGAAATGGAATACAACACTACCTTCAGGGATTTTAATAAATGTAGGGAACACTGCTAGCAAAAGAGTTGCTGTCCAAATAGACTGACATACACAGGCCAATGTAGCCTCTAATGACAGAGTAAGATAATGA